CACTTGTTCATTCTGGCAGGAAAGATGGTCCAGGATGGAAAATGGGTCAGCAGTGCTATATCACAAATAATCAACCTATGTTCCTCTCAGTAAAACTGAGAAATAATATTACGGTAAATACAATTATTTTTCTTTAACATTCTCAGAAAATTATACCCAGTGAAGCAAAATAGCGCAATTATTCTCAATCAGAATCTTAAGGTGTATACCGTTTAAAGATTTGGCATTGAGATTATGAAATGCCAAAGTGCTGTGATTAGCCAACAGGTGGTGAGAAGGACCCTCAGTAATGTCTGTGTGCTGTTTCCTTGCAGCCCAAGAGAGTCCCGAGGGTGCAGCCTCACCCACCCAACATGCGCCCCTCCAGTGACTCTTCGGGCGTGATCCCCCGCCCCCCGCTGCTGCCCGCCCTCACGCCCCTGGGCCTGGGGACCCAGGGACACCTGAGGCCGGGGTCCTCTCAGCCTCAGGGCACCCAGCACTCCACGGGGAACTTGGCGACCGAGGACCTGCAGGATCCCGTCCTTGTGATCCCACCCCTCAAAGAGCACAAACCCGAGGCTGCGCTGCGTCCCGCAGAGACCGAGGGGAACGCTGTGGGGGCGGGCTGTGGTGCAGGCGCCCAGGGCGCGCGGAGGGCCAGCGTCTTGTCCCCATCGACCCCGGCCTCTCCCAAGGCAGCAGCACACAGTCCCTGGGACAGCGGATCACCGGGGAAGCCGCACCGAGAGCCCAGGGCACGGGACTCCAGAGCCGCCCTCGAGCCCATTGTCCCCAGCCCTGGCCGTGGCTGTGGAGGGGTGAAGGTCTGCTCTCCGGGGAAGAGGCCCGACGTCATCTCCCGAGTGGAGGGGCGGGACATCACGGAGATGGCCAACAAGGCCACCAAAGATCACGTAGGCCGTGTGAGCAAGGCCGGGCTACTGGCTTCTTTAGCGCGGAGCTGAAGCAGGGCCGGGGTACAGAGTGGCCACAGCCTGGGCCGGCTGCGCCCCCCGGGGACCACGCTGCATCCGCCGCTCCGGCGCCTGTACCCCTCAACCCCAAGCGGCTCTCCCGGGCCCCAGCCTATAGTGCCCTTCCCGGTAAGTGCAGCCCTTTCTGCGATGCTGAGAAGAGAGGCAACACTGAGTCTTGTCTCTGGCCATAAATAGGCCTGAGGGTG